CCGCCCGCTGCTCCCCTCAGCAGTGTACTTCGTCAGTCGGCCTGTTCTGCTCCCCACTCTGTCTCTGGTGAAGCCTCTCACCGCCCCTGCACCTCTAGCCTGTACCCCAGTAATGTATGCAAAAATAAATAAATAAATCTTAAAAAAAAAAAGAGGGAATGGGATAAAAAAATAGTGGGGGGAGGGAAATGCACTGCACACGGGTGATTTGGTGATGGGAAGCCCATGGGGATTATAACTGAGATGGAGAAAGACACAAAATGATGTAAAAATAAACCATTATATTATTAGCCAAAAACAAGAATAAGGAAACCAGCGAAAAACAAGCAGGCTGGGTAATAAACCCAGCAGCTCGGGCTGTCACCGACCCAGTGAGCGTGACCCCTGTCGCGACTTTTCCTTGCCAGACATGTCTGTGGGAGGAAATCAAGTCTGTTTTGGCCCCCTGGGCCCTGCAGCCCAGGGGCCGGGGGAGCCAGGTGTGGTCACTGCAAATACGCACAGGACTTGGGGAGTGGGCTGGCCCGAGCCTCTCCTTGCCTCCACATCAGGGCTCCCTGGGGAGGGCAGGTGCAGCAGGAGAGACACAGGAATGTTTGTAGAGTGGGCGGATAGCGATTTACAAACCGCAGGAGACAGAACTTCCAGGAAAAAGGTCGCCCACCAATCAGGCGCCAGTGTCCCGTGGGGCAGGGGGGGTGGGGTGGGGACAAGGCTTCCTTCCTGACTCACAGAGACCAGCAGGGCAAGGTTCAGGCTGCGGCTCACGGTTACAGGCCCTGTCCCGGGGCTCGCAAGTCTCAGCGCCCCGTGCCCGAGCCCACGCCTGCCCGCCTGGAGCCGCCAGACCACCCGCTGCGGCCCCAGCTGCTGCCCAGCACCGCCGGCCGGACTTCCCCGCTAAGCCCGGGGCGCCCTGGGCCAGAGCTCCGTCTTGGAAAGCGGCCTCCCGGTCTGCAAAAGAGGACGCTGGGCCCCTTGCGTCCCAGGACAAGGCAGCCTGAGGGCCGGCTTTGGAGAAAGCCTGGGAAGCCTCACAGGCGCGGCTCAGGTGAGGGGCCATAGTCGTAGGGCCTCAGTGGCATCTCAGTGACCCCATGACCTGGGGACTGCCCTCGTGCCATCTCTAGCAGAGAACACAGGACGACAGAGAAGAGGCTCACTGGGGTCACCCAGTGCGTGACAAAGAGCAGGTCTTGAAGGGACCCACTCTGGCCACCTCCTCTTCCAGGACGCCAGCCTGGATTGCGACTCCCAGCCCCGCCCTTTACTGTGCCCCGTATCAGACTGAAACTGCGTTTATGACCTGTGGTGCCACGCACCTGCTTCCTCATCTGGCCTCCCTCCCTTGCCCTCCTGCGTGAGAGGCCCAGGTAGGGCAAGGGGTCAGGCTCTTGGTGCTACATCCCCCTGGGGCCCTGGCTGGGCAGAGCCCTCGGTGCCTTGAGACGCCTGAACCCCGGGCCCAGTCTGCCCCAGCCCTGGGGGCCCCTCACGCTCGGAGCTGGACAGTCTGCGTCGTGACACTCTCCCGACACTCTGACGCCCCCCCCCAGCTCCTGTATGCCCTCACCCGACCCTGATGTCCAGGGGGGTAACTTGTTCCCCAAGGCCTCCCGGAGCAAAGCTCGGGCTGGCACTGATAAGTGCCTTCCCAGAAGACTCCAGAAAACAGGAACTAATGGGGGACTTTCTGGTCTCTCTGTGGGCGCAACAACCAGTCTCCTTTGGAGCCCGAGGCTGCGGGGTTCTGGAGGGTCTGAGCCTAGGGAGGAAACTCAGGCCCATGTCCAGGGACATGGCCTCTGCCCCCCCCCCCCGGTAGGGATGGGGCTGGAAAGACCCCAAGGACACAGCATCGCCCTGGGGATGCAGAGAAAGGGGTGACCCAGCCGGGGCCCCGCCACCCTGGCGCAGAGCGGGCCGGGGATGTGGGTCTGTCTCCCTCCTCGTGTCCCGAGGGCCCCAGGTGAGGAGACCAGGCCAACTGGCCCCCAGGCCCTCCTGCTCACGACAAACCCGCCCACACCGGACCCCCGTTCTGCCAGAGCTGCGAGTCCATCCGCGCCCCCAAGCGCCCGGCTCACCTGCCGCTCCAGTCCCGGCGCCTGCCGCCCGCGGCCTGTGAGCCTCCCGCCAGCCCTGTCCGGCAGGAGACCTCCGGCCCCGCCCTGCCCGCTGGTTGCCAGGGGACGGCCCCGCCTGGGGAAGCAGGTGCAACCCACTCCCTGGCCTCACCTGGGCCCAGAAAACAAAGTAGAGAGGAAGAGGGAGAAAGCCGATACCCGGGCCTGGAGGAGGGTGGGCACCGTGAACGCGGGCCACCCCGGCCGGCACCGCGCGGCGGGACCCTCCCGGGGCGCCCCTCGGCTCTCAGCTCGTCAGTGCTGTGCGGAAAGGGGCATCGCTCGCTGGGGTCACACGACAGACCCGTGAGCCAGGTGCCCGTCTGAGGGGGCTCCGAGTGCCACCTGGCTCAGCCCACTCTTGGGGCTCCTTGCCCCCAGGCAGCCTTTCTGGGTAGTCTCTGGGGTTTCGGCAGGTCCTGGGTTCGAGCCCCACTTAACCTCTGAGGCTGCCTCCTCGTCCGTGAAGTGGGGGTAGAGCAGCGGCACCCCTCGGCTGCTGGGGAGCTCCCAGGTGACCTCCGCAAGGAGGAACCGAACAAGAAAACACAGACGAGGCAGGCCCCACCGCAAGAGGGCGCCCCTGAGGCCGAAGGGACCCGGTTTCCCCCCACCCCCCCTGCATAGCTTCTCGCCTGATACCGGACGGGCCCAGGGAAACTTCTGGGGCCCTGTTGCCTGGCGGCGGCAGTGGGGAACTACGGGGACACGGGCCAGGCCGCCACCCCACACCGAGGCCCAGGGGCCAGCCCAGTGTGTGAGCAACGCAGGCAGCTCC